TTTAAAAAATGATATTAACGATGTTGTATAATGTTAACAACATGATTGCTTAATAGTTAGGGTTTGGTTTAGGCTTTGTTGCTTGTTATTATGCATAGTTTACTATTACTATAATAAGTGCATGTAGTGTGGATCAAGGACACTGTAAAATACAGTGTTACCTTATTCTTTAACATTAAAAAACAACTTACAAAGTACAAAAAATCATTAAGATAAATATTTGCATCATCATAGATTTTGAACTTGATTTTTGAATCTGGTTCATTATCAACACAGAACTGTCTCACTCGGTGAAACTCGGCTAATATGATGACATTTTGTCCCCAGATAGACTTTGTCGCCCATGACAACATCCCATACATCTCAGCTGGAAGTGATGATGTTTACAAACACATAAAGGAGGCAGGTAGGTATTAGCAACTTGCAAACACAGTTAAATAGCAGTCAAAAATAGTTTTTAATATAATATATGCTCTTAAATCTTCCTTTCAGGTATGTTTGCGCCGACTCAGAGAACAGAGGGCATCTCCACGTCTGACATAATCACACGAATCGTACGTGACTATGATGTTTACGTGCGCCGCAACCTGCAGAGAGGCTACACTGCCAAAGAGCTGAACGTCAGCTTCATCAACGTGAGTGTGATTAAACACCTTCCACCTCTTAAAGGGACAGTTCAGCCAAAAATGAAAATTCTGTCATCATTTAGTCAATAGAAAATATTTTGAAGAATATGGGTAACCAAACAGATGATGTCCCCATTGACTTTCATAGTATGGAGAAAAAAAAATACTATGGAAGTCAATGGGGGCCATCAACTTTTTTTCTTTTTTCAAAATATCTTCTTTTGTGTTCAGCAGAAGAAATAAACTTGTGCAAGGTTGAAACAACTTGAGAGTGTAAATGATGACAAGATTTTAATTTTTGAGTGAACTATCCCTTTAATAAAAACTGTTCAAATGAAAATCCCCTCATTTAAGTATTGGATTTGATGTAACATGCCAGCTCTGCTGCCCTCTTTCTCCCAGGAGAAGAAGTACCACCTGCAGGAGCACGTGGATAAGGTGAAGCAGAAGGTCCGAGATGTGGAGGAAAAGAGTAAAGAGTTTGTACAGAAGGTGGAGGAGAGGGGCATTGACCTCATTCAGAAATGGGAGGAGAAATCACGCGAGTTCATCGGGAACTTCCTGCAGATGTTCGGGCCGGATGGGGCGTTGGTGAGTCTGGTTGCAGCTCTTCCACACATCTTAAGCATTGATGTTTTAATGAGCAAATGAATAGTTAATGAAAAATGAAAGTTTACTCTCCTCATAAGATTTATTTTCTGTGGAAGACAATAGAGGCTTTGCAGAATGTCCAAGCTGTAATAAAAGTGTTTGGTGATGTACTATTTACTGCTCCAAACAGGACAAAAAGCAGCATAAAAATGGTCCATGCGCTGTATTAAGCCTTAAACCTTCTGAAGTCAAAAGATAGACGAAATTTGAGTTGTTATCCACTGATAAGCCACAAGAACTAATTATATTTGGCATTGCTGACGTCAAATCTGGTGCAACATGCATATTAGAATGATTTGTGACCCTGGACCACAAAGCCAGTCATAAGGGTCAATTTTCCGAAATTGAGATTTATACATCATCTGAAAGCTGAATAAATAAGCTTTCCATTGATGTATGGTTTGTTAGGATAAACAATATTTGGTCGAGATACAACTACCGGTATTTGAAAATCTGGAATCTGAGGGTGCAAAAAAATCTAAATACTGAGAAAATCACGTTTAAAGTTGCAATGCATATTACTAATCAAAAATTAAGTTTTAATATATTTACAGTAGGAAATTTACAAAATATCTTCATGGAACATGACCTTTACTTAATATCCTAATGATTTTTGGCATGAAAGAAAAATCTATCATTTTGACCCATACAATGTATTTTTGGCTATTGCTACAAATATACCTGTGCTACTTAAGACTGCTTTTGTGCTCCAGGGTCACATTTCTGAAGGATCATGTGACACTGAAGACTGGAGGAATGATGCTTTCATCAAAGGAATAAATTACATATGAAAATAAGTTAGGAAACAGATCTTTTAAATTGTAATAATTCGTTTTTACTGTATTTTTGATCAAACAAATGCAGCTTTGATGAGCATAAGAGACTACTTTTATAAGCACAAAAAAATCTTATTAGGAACTTTTGACTGGTATTGTATGGGTTAAAATTCAAGCACTACTATGGTGGAGGGGAAGATTTTCAGTGAATAGGAGAATCCTTTTTTTATTTTTAAATATGATGTAATTCACTAATAGGATGTGTTGTGTGTCTAACAGAAGCACATGTTGAAAGAGGGAAAAGGACGGATGTTACAGGCCATCAGTCCCAGACAGAGCCCCAGCAGCAGTCCCGTCCGCGAGGAGCGCTCGCCGTCCCCCACCTTCCGTCTCCCCTTCTTCACCTCCTCGCCCTTCTTTTCTCCTCCTCCTCACCACAGCGGCTCACACTACACGGGCAAAGATGAGGATGACTAGGGCCCATCCGTTCTAGAAATCACGCTCACAAGCAGCTCTTCATGTTTTATACGCTTTCTTTAAGCCATTTTGAGTAACCAAGGAAATAAATGAAGGATGGACTAGCTCAAGATTTATTTGAATACGAAAAATGTATTGAAATGCACAATAGTGACCAAATTATTCCACCCGTACTTTCTAAAGGTTTTGATCCCACGTCTTCCTCTCGTCTCGCTAAACCAAAAGGCTCATATTGTTGGCCTATTCCTTGGATTGTATTCAGCCTGGAACTTGCATAATTATGCATTTTTAGCGCCTCTTATTTTTTTGTTTCGCAACAGAGCGTCTGCTTGCACGTGATCTCATTCTCGGTTGTCCATAAAACTCACCCTCACCTGCCTTCATTGTCCAGATCTTTTCATACTTGAACAGGGGCCAAATTTGAGACTAATTCCAGGATGAGGGAGGGATCCCAGGACAGAAAACTTCAGGATCGGTCGTCTTTGTACAGTTCTGGAATGTTTCTTCTCATTTTACGCTGGTTACCGTATTGAAAGTCTGTTTTTACTTTCAGTCATTCTTTTTGAATATGCATGTGTCTTTCTGACCTTTTTATTTTTCCGCTAAAGTTCATTAGGTGTTTTTCCTCATATGAACTCTCTCTCTCTCTCTCAGACTCTGATGTGAAGTAATAATTTCAGGGCCTGGCAGTGACGGTGTCTGGCACCTCTATTTAAACCCTGTGCTAATCTGTGGCATGGGTCCCAGTCTTTTTGGAAAGGCTTTGCTTGCTGAATGTTTACATTACCCAAGCCCACTGAGGGACAGTGTTGTTTACATGTGTACATAGGACAGGAGGAGATGACTGTAGGATTATGTGTTTGCCAGCAGACCAAAAGACAACTTTGGCATTCTTGTGATCAGAAACGTTAATATATGATTTGTTTTAGATGATCTTTGGGAATCAAAAGTACTGTGAATAATGCCAGTGAATCACTAAACTAACTAATCTTGAAAGAAAAACACATTTTCCTGTATTGTCTTGTGGCTTGTTACTTATTCATGGGGATCAAAAAACACAATATAATACAGCACCTTTAATGTCCAATAATGTATGATTTTAGAAAAAGATTTAAAAAAAACTAACATTAACCTATCACTTATGAATAGTTAAATGGGCGTAACATCAGATACAGATGTTTGATATTTCAGGTTATATTTTCGCCTTCAAAATTCTATTACTAGTTCTTGAATGAATTTTTCTAGAATGAATTCACATAATTTTTTTATAAGCTCATATTCTCATATCTGAGAGTCACAGATCCACACCTGCCTCTAAGTGGTTCTCAACTTGGGGACTTAAACGTAAACTTCAACAAGGGCCACAAAAACCAACTTAATTTTGTTTAAACTCAGTTAAACTAATTTTACAGTTAACAAGCTAAAGGCCCATTCACACCAAAAGCGATAACTATAATGATAACTATATTAGTGTCCACAACGACGGGTTCTAACGTTCCGTTTATAGCGCATCTGCCACTTTAAGCGCTTAAAGAGATAGTTCACCCAAAAATGAAAATGTTATGTTTATCTGCTTACCCCCAGGGCATCCAAGATGTAGGTGACTTTTGGCGCTTTTCCACTGCATGGTACGGCACGGTACGGTTCACTTTTGGGGGGTTTTCCACTGGGTACAGTACCTGGTACTTTTTTTAGTACCACTTCGGTTGGGGTTCCAAGTGAACCGTACCGTTACCAAAACGTGACGTGTAAACCCTGCTGATCACGGATTGGCCGGAGAGAATCGTCACTACCTGCGTCACTGAACTTGCGACACAAACACAAAAGAACCGCTAGATTTAAATCAGAACAGCCAGCGAAGGATCGAACGCAACTGTTTTGAACGAGCGCACCTTTTTTTTAACAACCAAAAAGTTGTTTTGTCTGTTGCGGAAGAACCAACGTTCCTCTCGTTGATAGCAGAGGAGCGGATCCAGCGAGAGCTTGATGGGGCGACGCGGAATGAAAAAGTTTTTTTTAGGAGTCGTGGTAGTAGAGGCGGCGCGACTATAACGACATGTGAATAATCCCACCCACTCTAAAGCGGTACTGAACTGCAGTGGAAACCAGTGGAAACGCAAACCGTGCCGTGCCGTACCGAGCCGAGTTGTACCACACAGTGGAAAAGTGCCATTTGTTTCTTCAGTAGAACACAAACCAAGATTTTTAACTCGAACCATTGCAGTCTGTCAGTCATATAATGGAAGTGAATGGGAATCACGGCTTTGAGAGTAAAGTGGATCTCGTGGGCCAGATTTGAGGATCCCTGGTCTATGGTGTGAACGGCCCTTAAAAACACTAAAATCAAGGCTACTGAAAAACTGGGGACTTCACATGCACCACTGAGTATGAAACTGTACCTTTGCAAACAAAATTGTGAAGATTTTGATTAATCTAAAATGTTTGCAATGGTAAATTCTTTTTTTTTTTTACCTTCAGAGATTTTTGAAGCATCTTTGAAACTGAATATTACGCCTCAGAAGTGGCGTTTACCTTATAATAAAAAAACCACCTTTGTCATCACTGCAGCAGAAGTACAAAAGAAAATCGAATTGGTGGTCCTTCCAAATATTGTCTTGGATCTCAGAGTTATGAAGGTTGCAAACCCCAACTTGTGCAGGTCGTCCATTATGACTCTGAGCGGCAAGCAGAGCTGTGTGCGCTGCAGCGGAGGAGAGCCGGTCTGAGTGCTCTGGAGGCCTGGAGGTAGAGCATGTGATCAGTACATCAGCATCGCTCCATCAGCTGTTGTTGGAGGACTGCTCTGGCTTCAGCCGGATGGCCCACGAGTTGGCAGAGACGACGTTACCGCGCCGATGGATGCGGCAGGTGTACGTGCCTTCATTGAATTCATTGGCCACGAGCCGCAGGTCTCGATCTTTAATTACAATATAACCAGGAATGGATGTCAGCAACTGCTCGCCGTCCTTATACCAGCTGATGAAAGATGAAACAAAGCAGCTGAGATACACTGGACAGAAACGAAGGGTAACACTTTCTATGAAGCCCATATTTATAATACATTATAAGGGTATTCTTAAGGCATGATAATGAATGCATTAGTAAGGGATAATGTACATCCAGCCGGTTGTTATCTCAGAATAAACCCCGACAGGGTGGTCTTGTATCAGCCTGAAGGGGTTTATTCTGAGATAACAACCGGCTGGATGTACATTATCCCGCTTATTACACGGCTACTTGCCACATAAGTAAATAATTAGATGTGAAATATTGATTTGAGTTGAAATATTTGAACGCAAAGCTTCCGTGAAGACAGCAGTTGCGAGCAAGCGGCAAATTCAAACTAGACGGACATTTAAGGGAAACGGTGCAGTCAAACCACTTTCACTTTCACTTACACAACATTTCACCACAAAAATAATTAAGGCAATAAAAGAATTAAGACGAAAATGTTTTAGAACCTTACCAGTTTGTTAGTTCTCATATAATCCATTACAGCGTACAAAACAATCGTAGCAAAATGGCAGCAGCTGCGTTTGTATCTGACCAATCAGAATCAAGTATTCCACAGAGCCGTGTAATAATGCATTATAAAAAACCTTATTATGTTATATAATCTTATAAGTAAGGGATAATCAATGGCTAGCCGTGCATTAAAGGGGTCATATAATGCGATTTCAAGTTTTCCTTTCTCTTTGGAGTGTTACAAGCTCTTGGTGCATAAAGAAGATCTGTAAAGTTGCAAAGACTAAAGTCTCAAATCCAAAGAGATATTCTTTATAAAAGTTAAAGAGTCAGCCACGCCATAGAGGACCTACAATAATGTACAGTATTTGAAAAACAATGTGTTTTTTGAACATTAAAGCATGTCAACATATTCTGTTACACCAAATACACAAAATAATGATCTTTAAAATAGCATCATATGACCCCTTTAAAGGATTTTAAACGCACGACGTGGAAGCAAAGAAGTTTCTTTGCGAAGTGCATTTCAAATCCTTAGGTTAAGGTTAAGGTAGGTAGAATGTTGACGTACTTGCAAAGTTACTTATAGTCAGTTTGTCTGTTGGGGAACCATCAAAATAAAGTGTAAGCATATATTTAGCAGACATACTACTAGACTGGACTAGTTTCTCCATACAGGAGGCGTCTTGAAGCTGTCATTACCAACAAAGGATTTTGTACAAAGTATTAAATACATTTCAGTAGTTCAATACTTTTTCCCTGGGTCATTCCATTTTATTTCACATAACATCTGGTGAAAATTTCAAGTTAACAGCACCTTTAGAAACATATTTACTGAGAAAAATGGTGACGTGTTCAATACTTATTTTAGCCGCTGTAAATGCTTAGTTTTATGATCAAAGCTCTGTAGTTTTATTGTGGGCAAAACATATAATGTGATGCAATACAATAATGATTGAGAGATCAACAAATAAACGTTCCTCAAAAGCCTGATGATCATATTTGATACTCACATTTTAGCATGATGAATGATGGATAAACGAGTAAATCAAAGTTACTTCAGTCCAGTAAGTGTTCATCTTGAAATATTACTAGTAATACAAAAATTATTCTTATGTTTGCTTCATAAAAATCATTAAAGATTTTACAACAGGATGCTCTACCTGACTTTTGGAGGCACTCTGGTATTTTTTGTCCCACAGCGGAAGCCCACAACTTTTCCACGAGGCACAATTTTGATCTTCACATTTTCAGGAGGAGGTGTCGGTGTAGACACTGCATCCAGAGGCTCTGAGGAGCAAACACGCACGTTAAAGAGTCAGCTGTACAAGTGTGTGTCTATAATATCACTACTATACTATTTAAAGTGATGGACGATGTCCGTCCACATGCACCATGAAGAATACTGTGTGGAAGTGAAAGGCTTTTGGACGGGAAACCAGCGCTGCAGGAGATGTTGGAGGAGGATGTTTTCAGTGTCTCACCGTAGCACAGGTCGCAGCGCTGCGGGCAGTTTTTCTTCATGAAGCTCCGCCTCCTCTCACAGAAACCCAAGCGGGCCCAAGGATCACACACTCGCTTCTTGTCCATGCATCCTGAAGCAAACGCACACACAGAGGATAGAAACAAGCATAAGCTTTAAAACTCTGGAGAGATGAGAACGTTCAAAATCACTTTATTTTTAGTTCATACAATAAAAATTCAACCTATCTACTTTCTAAATGCATGTTATAGAGCTTACTGTTAATTCATCCATGCATGTTTCATTTTTGACCTCATAATGTTTAATAAAAATGTAACAACTGGATCTTCGGATGAAGACGACAAAACTCTGGAGAGATGAGAACATGTTCAAAATCACTTTATTTTTAGTTCATACAATAAAAATTCAACCTATCTACTTTCTAAATGCATGTTATAGAGCTTACTGTTAATTCATCCATGCATGTTTCATTTTTGACCTCATAATGTTTAATAAAAATGTAACAACTGGATCTTCGGATGAAGACGACAGACTTCTGCAGGCCTTCTCCAATCATTTTGGTCACTGAAACTCCGCCTCCACTTTTAAATACCACGCCCCCACACCTCACCATCCAATTAACAACTGACTCATAGAACTAAGTCCTGCCCTACAGTTTGTGTGTCACAATATGGAAGAAAAGTTCCCATTTTTTATGTGACTTTACACATTTTGCTTACCGTAAAGGCGCTGGATGCCCCAGATATCATCTTGAGCGATGTTCCTCTGACCCGTGTACGTTGCATTAGGGTGCATTAATGCATTAGGGTCCCGTGAATGCCAGAGGCCTAAAGCGTGACCGATTTCATGAGCAGCTACTTGGACCAGGTCATTCAGCCACACACCTGTGCAGAGACAACACGCCATCCAATCAAAGAATAGATGGAGAATTTCTTTGAAGATATCTCCTTACAGTATGTTCCTTCTATGTGATTTCTGAGTTTAAACATTTAAAATTCAAAGTGAACTAGTAATGAACACTTTAAAACACTGCTTCATGAACATTTATGAATCTTTTGTTTCAAATCAGTGGTTCAGAGCTTGTATCAAACTCCCCAAGTCACATGATTTCAGTAAATCAAGCTTCATTATATCATAGTGTTTCAAACCTTACTTCCAAAATGTGTGAACAATCCAATGGTCTCCCATGAACGAGTGTCTAATGGTTTTCTAATGGAAAAATATCGATGTTATGATTTACAAAAAGGCACAACGTAGTCAGGTCTTCATCAGGCACAATGTTAATAAACTCTGGAGGTGTAATTTCAGTGTGCAGTGTAATTTCTTTTTCCATTTATTGTTTTGTTCTCCTGCACCTGAGCCCAATTCAGGTTTTGGATGTGCATACTTTTTTCTTTTTTAAACTGATCTCAGGTCAGTTTTATAATGTAGGTTTATTTGTAATTATTTTATTGAATTTTAGTACTTATACATATATAATTAAAAAAAGATAATGATACTTAATTTCAGTAATACTTTATTTTAAGGACCATTTCTCACTATTAACTATGACTATTACTAGCATGTTGGCTGTTTATTTTAGTACTTCTAAAGCACATATTAATGCATTATTCTGCATGACCATACTTTAGATCCCATAATCCAACCCCATACCTGAACTTAACAACTACCATTCTAACTATTAATAAGCAGCAAATTAGGCAAGGCAAGTTTATTTATATAGCACATTTCATACACAATGGTAATTCAAAGTACTTTACATTGACTTGATTTTTAGCTTTTTTGACCCCTAGAGTCAAGATATGCATTCACCTTGAGAACTTCATCTTTGTTTCCAAATACAATGACTTCAGTTTTTTCCTTGTTTAACTGAAAAAAGTTTGGGCACATCCAATTGTTAATTTCATCAATGCATTGGCAGAGGGAGTCAATGGGGCTGTAGTCATTTGGCGATAAGGCTAGGTAAATCTGGGTATCATCAGCATAGCTCTGATAGACAATTTGATTCTTTCTCATTATTTGACTTAGTGGGAGCATATACAGGCTAAACAAGAGCGGTGCAAGAATTGAGCCTTGTGGCACTCCGCATGTCATGGACGTCCACTTAGACTTATGCTCTCCTATACTCACATAATAACCTCTCCCTTCTAAGTATGACCTGAACCATTTGATTACCATCCCAGAAAGCCCGACACCTAAAAAAATTAGGTGTTTATTGAGGCAAAAGTCATAGTTAATAGTTAGTTAGCAGAGAGAATTGGACCTTAAAATAAAGTGTGACCTTAATTTATTTTAATTGACTTGCCAAGTTCACACAAAACAAGCACTACATTAATGCAAGAACACACATTTTACAGAACCTTCATATTTAATGGTTTCATTTATTTGTAGATTACATTTAAAAGATTATACTTCAGTTAGAACATCTGCAATTAGCTGGTAAAAGTGTCATTATACATGTTTGGGCTGAGTTGTCATGGCATTTACAATGTTTTGACCAGCCTGTGGCATTTTGAGCACTTAAGAGACAGTGAATCATTTTGCGAAGCAATAGTGGCAAAAAAGCTTCTTATTACTAAAGAGAACGCACTTAAAAAATGACATCAGTGGGTCTGTCCCAATACTTACATTTGCAGTCTTTGCACTTGATCACCTATCACACTTACATGATGTATTTCCTGTATTCAAGTGAAACACTTCACATTTTACAAAATACACCTATTCATCTCTATACAGTGTACAACACTTTACTCTAGCGCCACCATCAGTTCAAATTTAATGTAAAGTTTTAGCAAATACATTTTGAAGCAAAACAAATGATCTAGACACTAAAAACCACCTGGTGCTTTCGATTTCCATTTGACTAGAAATAGATTTTCCACAATCTCGAATTTTGTCTGAAACATACTTTTCAAACAGAATTCAAACTTAGGTGCCAAAAGTGAGTAATTGGAAATTAGTTAAACAGCAACAACAACTTCGTTTATCATTCCCACAATGCAGACAATGCCACTTCAATTTGGTTAAAGCACCACCAGTCTGTAAAAAATCTAAGTTTTCAATATTGGAATCAATGAGCATATAAGTTATATTTGTATTCTGACAAGCACATCCCCCCATTTGAATAAAAATGCATTAAATCAGTACCTTGTTTCCAGCTGAAGCGGGATTTGCCCAGAATCCAGAATTCATGGTTGTCAAAGTGAATCTCTCCACGTGGGGGAAGGAAGGCGTGAGCCAGCTCACCGTTCAGCCCGTCAAAACACGGGTGCAATGGAGACCACCAACAATCTGTGTGATTGTACGTGTAGAAGCCTGACTCAGAAAAAGGAGGTGTTAAAAAACTGCATAGAGTACTCTGTCAGCCTGCCAAAGTGCACATGCCTGATGTTTTGGCTCTTTTCCCGCACATTTATTTACCTATAGTGATGTCAGCACTTTTGTTGGGGTTGGTGATCTCAGTGAAAGCCAGAGGAGAAACATCACTCCATTTCGTGAAGGCGATGCTGATAGCTTTGCGGGTATCATCTTTATTCAGTGTGTTGGGGAACTTTGTGATCCTTGAAGAGGGAAAGACGTAAATTACTTCCAGCCAAAAATGAATGACACGCTTTTCTCTGTGTCTGCTATCAATCAGAAAGCACATTTACAAAAGCCCAACACTCCCGAAATCAGTCTGATCTTCCCAAAATATCCCTCATCATCTCATGCATCTGTCCGGTCATATTTTTATATATCCTGTGTCTCTCTCACTTGTAGGTGACGTTGAAATGCTCCCACTTGTATCCCAGTGGGTTGATGGCATAGCGCTTGGATCGGGCCTGACCTCGATGAGATCTCGCTTCCACAGGTGCTGCCGTCTGCACACACGGTTTATTCAAATGAATACTAGCCACCTAAGAGGAAGACAGAAGAAGGTATGCTGAAAGAGTGGCAGATATTGTGATGTTGAATGTAATATCATCATATAGCAAACCACCAAGTCCAAAGTGTAACACAAATGATGATTCTGATCCACTAAAGTACTGTTAAGTCATTATACATGTTTGGGCTGAGTTGTCATGGCATTTACAATGTTTTGACCAGCCTGTGGCATTTTGAGCACTTAAGAGACAGTGAATCATTTTGCGAAGCAATAGTGGCAAAAAAGCTTCTTATTACTAAAGAGAACGCACTTAAAAAATGACATCAGTGGGTCTGTCCCAATACTTACATTTGCAGTCTTTGCACTTGATCACCTATCACACTTACATGATGTATTTCCTGTATTCAAGTGAAACACTTCACATTTTACAAAATACACCTATTCATCTCTATACAGTGTACAACACTTTACTCTAGCGCCACCATCAGTTCAAATTTAATGTAAAGTTTTAGCAAATACATTTTGAAGCAAAACAAATGATCTAGACACTAAAAACCACCTGGTGCTTTCGATTTCCATTTGACTAGAAATAGATTTTCCGCAATCTCGAATTTTGTCTGAAACATACTTTTCAAACAGAATTCAAACTTAGGTGCCAAAAGTGAGTAATTGGAAATTAGTTAAACAGCAACAACAACTTCGTTTATCATTCCCACAATGCAGACAATGCCACTTCAATTTGGTTAAAGCACCACCAGTCTGTAAAAAATCTAAGTTTTCAATATTGGAATCAATGAGCATATAAGTTATATTTGTATTCTGACAAGCACATCCCCCCATTTGAATAAAAATGCATTAAATCAGTACCTTGTTTCCAGCTGAAGCGGGATTTGCCCAGAATCCAGAATTCATGGTTGTCAAAGTGAATCTCTCCACGTGGGGGAAGGAAGGCGTGAGCCAGCTCACCGTTCAGCCCGTCAAAACACGGGTGCAATGGAGACCACCAACAATCTGTGTGATTGTACGTGTAGAAGCCTGACTCAGAAAAAGGAGGTGTTAAAAAACTGCATAGAGCACTCTGTCAGCCTGCCAAAGTGCACATGCCTGATGTTTTGGCTCTTTTCCCGCACATTTATTTACCTATAGTGATGTCAGCACTTTTGTTGGGGTTGGTGATCTCAGTGAAAGCCAGAGGAGAAACATCACTCCATTTCGTGAAGGCGATGCTGATAGCTTTGCGGGTATCGTCTTTATTCAGTGTGTTGGGGAACTTTGTGATCCTTGAAGAGGGAAAGACGTAAATTACTTCCAGCCAAAAATGAATGACACGCTTTTCTCTGTGTCTGCTATCAATCAGAAAGCACATTTACAAAAGCCCAACACTCCCGAAATCAGTCTGATCTTCCCAAAATATCCCTCATCATCTCATGCATCTGTCCGGTCATATTTTTATATATCCTGTGTCTCTCTCACTTGTAGGTGACGTTGAAATGCTCCCACTTGTATCCCAGTGGGTTGATGGCATAGCGCTTGGATCGGGCCTGACCTCGATGAGATCTCGCTTCCACAGGTGCTGCCGTCTGCACACACGGTTTATTCAAATGAATACTAGCCACCTAAGAGGAAGACAGAAGAAGGTATGCTGAAAGAGTGGCAGATATTGTGATGTTGAATGTAATATCATCATATAGCAAACCACCAAGTCCAAAGTGTAACACAAATGATGATTCTGATCCACTAAAGTACTGTTAATATGATCAGTTCAGGAGACCTAACCTGCTCAAATGATTGCAAAGACCTTGATTACACAGTTCAGGTGTGTTTAGGGTTGCAAAAAGGTGGAAATTTTCCAGTAAATTTTGGAAACATTCCAGAAATTTTGGAAACTTTCCAGGATTTTTTTTTTTGAATATTCCAGGGATTTTTGGAAAGTTTCCGGAAATTTTCCACCCCTTTGCAACCCTAGGTGTGTTTGAGTTCTAAACAATGCAGGAAGCTAGATCTCCATGTGCTGAGCAACCATGATATCTATGAAGTTCCACAATGATTACCAGGAAATTTACATACCTATGTCGAGATAGTAGATATACAGTGGAAATCAACAAGGTTTAGGATTCTGAAACATTATGATGTAAAATTAATAAGAAATGTTTCACACATCAAATAAGCAGAATTGGGCATGTGAACTCTTGATATACTAGCTTCCACTTTGGATCATTTCAAACCATGCTGGAGAACACGATTATCATTTACAGTTTTATACAAAACTGTGGAGTTCATGCAGCTCCAATCCTGCTGCCATTAAAGCAGAAGAGGGAAAGTACAAATGCTAAGACATTCTGAAATTCATCATTTTTCAATTATTTTTACTTCTCACTCAAATAGTCAAGCTTATTCCTAGTGAAAAACAAGTGCACTTAATTGTCCTAAATGTGCTCAAATCTTATAAGTACTTTCAATAAACTGTACTGAATAATGAGATAAAAGGCCACTTTCATGACTGTTTCTTAAACTAATGTGTAATTACATTAATGTAGACATTAATGTAGTTTAGTATTTAGTTTACCATGAATGTTTGTCAGTACATTAAGCAGTACATTTTAACCATATTTCAAAGACAATCAAAGTAATTATGAAATGACATAAGATGTCCCTAAGTCCTATTTAAATGGGTAAAACAACATACTAATTCAACTAATTGCACTTAACATAGCCTAAATTTAAACTATAAATAGCTACTCTCATTTAATTGCAATTAAGCATCCAAACATTACATTAAGTTCACACTTTTATCCTTTTAAAGTACCTTTTAAAGTAAATTTAAGTACTCGTTTTAAAAATAAATCTATTTTTATTTGCATTAGGCTACATCACAAAAAAAGCAAAACAGAAGTGGTATCAGATTTGTTAACTTTTAGAGGAGCAAATAATAAACTAAATCAGTAGAGTTAATGAAAGATTCTGTCTCGTATGAAATTCCACATATATGACCCTGGAGCACAAAACCAGTCTTAAAAAATGAAATCGCATCATATGACCCCTTTAAGTCACACAGGTACATTTGTAGCAATAGCCTACAATACATTGTACAATGTATTGTAGGCTATTGGTACAAATATACCTTTATGCCAAAAACCATTAGGATATTTCCTACCATATCAAAACTTAATTTTTGATTAGTAATATGCATTGCTAAGGACTTCATTTGGACAACTTAAAGGCGATTTTCTCAATATTTTGGAGTTTTTTGCACCCTCAGATTCCAGATTTTCAAATAGTTGTATCTCGGCCAAATATTGTCCTATCCTAACAAACCATACCTCAATGGAAAGCTTATTTATTCAGCTTTCAGATGATGCATATATCCTTTTAAAGTACCTTTTAAAGTAAATTTAAGTACTCGTTTTAAAAATAAATCTATTTTTATTTGCATTAGGCTACATCACAAAAAAAGCAAAACAGAAGTGGTATCAGATTTGTTAACTTTTAGAGGAGCAAATAATAAACTAAATCAGTAGAGTTAATGAAAGATTCTGTCTCGTATGAAATTCCACATATATGACCCTGGAGCACAAAACCAGTCTTAAGTCACGTCACACAGGTACATTTGTAGCAATAGCCAACAATACATTGTACAATGTATTGTAGGCTATTGCTACAAATATACCTTTATGCCAAAAACCATTAGGATATTTCCTACCATATCAAAACTTAATTTTTGATTAGTAATATGCATTGCTAAGGACTTCATTTGGACAACTTAAAGGCGATTTTCTCAATATTTTGGAGTTAATGTCTCAAGTCTGACAAATGAGTAAGTAACAAGTTTTTTGGTCAAATTTTTTCGAAGATAAAGATTCCTGGAGTAGGTTTCTACTGTACAATATTACGTTTTTGCATTTCAAAATTTCGCGTTAGTTTCTCTTTAATTATTATGAAATTTACTAGCAATTTCTGAGGGAAAACTTTTTTGTTGTTGTTGTAAATCCTACACCAATTTTATTTTATTTAATTTTTCAACGCAAATATTTGCTTCAAGATGCCACCTTTTAGCGGTGCAAAAGTAAATACATTCTGGCTATGCTTAAAAATACATGTACGTTTGAAACGGTTTAAATGACGCACGTCAGATGTCAGTGCTAAACTTATACTGAAGGGTCCTAAAAACCTGTGCATGTCATTTCAGTTCTTTTACGAGAACAGTATGAAGTTGAGATGATACCGAGCGCTTACCGTGGGTTTTCTCCACGCAGGCACGGCCACGGCATTATCCAGCAGCACCAGCAGCAGCAGCGCGCAGGAACAAACCCAGCGCATCTTTAAATCACACAACTTTCCTCAAGGATTACCTTTGTGCTTCATCCATATATTCTTGAGTAAGAAAGTATTTCCACAGACCTAGCCGCATCCAGACGCGCGCGCGTCTTAGGACAGACAGACTCCTGTTTCTGCTGAATGTGTTTAACACTCGCAGTCGAGATTATTTAGTGCACTTCTGCTTCTTGCTCTGAACTTTCGCTCTCTCTAGGGTGCAGGAAAGATCCCGCAGGAGCACAAAGCGCCGCCCTGCTCCAATCTAATGTCCTCCTCCTCATCTCCTCCCTTTATCAACTCAGAGCAGCATAATAATCGAAAATGCTGTATTTATTTTCCTTGTCGCGTTAGCCTATCTTGTGTTTTCACGACGCATGCAAAAACATAAAAGCTCATTTTAACATAAAAACAATTTTTTCCCCTCACATTGATCTGAAATATAGGTAATTCATACATTTTCAACGTTTCCAAATTCTGGAACGCTGATATTCAGGTCGCGTCACCTGAGTGACGTCACAATGTCAGCGTCTTCAACGTGTTTTTTTGGGGGGGCGTGGCGTGTCGGCGGAAACACAAAGCGACCAAAATGTATCTTTTCAAAAATCTAAAATAAAAATCATAAATATAAAATAAAATCATTTTAGCAGGCTATTTGTTTGGCGAAATTCAGATGTAGGGAAAAGAATGTATTTTGGGCAACAACAACAACAACAACAACAAAAAAACTACTGCGAATTCCTCTTCATTTTCTCAACAGATATGAATGTATATCTGGATTTCACCGCAGGCTAAACAACACCTCTAGTACATCACAACAGGTTCCTGCAAAAAAAAAAAAAACTTGGTTACGCTCTACAAAACATTAGAAAAACATTGAAAGTTTAAAAGCTTGCCTCACTTTCAACTCCAAAAGGTAGAGTCCTCGTTTCTGCAGTTTCAGTGATATCACACTCGAAGCGCAAGTCAACATGCAAGGGAGCATTTTGAAAGGGCAACAAATTAAGCATGCATAAGCCGCGCTCATTAAAAATCCATTGTGGAGAATTGCAGATTTTGGCATAACACATGGCATTCATGGCCAAACGGCCCTCAGTTTCTAGAATAATAAAAAAAGACTCTTATGACTGGTTTTGTGGTCCAGGGTCGCATATATATGAGTTGTGCTGCTCTTGTGGTTCAGTAACTCATGCAGCCGAAGCTCTGGAAGATCTGTCACCCACATGTGATTGCGCCCGCCCCAGAGACCCGTGACCTTCAACACTCTTCCTCCTCCTTTTGATCTTTGCAAAGATTTTACAACCCTTTCCAGTAAAAAAAAAAAATGCACGTGAACAGCCAATGAATGTCTCAGTCTGACAAATGAGTAAGTAACAAGTTTTTTGGTCAAATTTTTTCGAAGATAAAGATTCATGGAGTATGTTTCTACTGTACAAGAGAATACTATTACGTTTTTGCATTTCAAAATTTCGCGTTAGTTTCTCTTTAATTATTATGAAATTTACTAGCAATTTCTGAGGGAAAACTTTTTTTTTTTTTTTGTAAATCCTACACCAATTTTATTTTATTTAATTTTTCAACGCAAAATTGCAGATTTTGGCATAACACATGGCATTCATGGCCAAACGGCCCTCAGTTTCTAGCCCTAACCTCATTAGTTTGGTTGACCTTCGGAGGGTTCAGGAACAGCCAGTGCTTTACTTTAACTCTCACATCACTATGGAGAGAAGTCAGCGTCTCTGAGAGGAAGTCAGTCACTTATGATGGATATCTTCTTTGACCTGCAGGGTCAATGTTCAGGCTGTTCAATGCTGTTGGCTTCACATTCATGATGCATTTTTTTTGTTGACCTCTAAAAGACGATGCATTTATTAAGTTAGTCTTGTACTCCAAACAAAGACTGGGCACCCATTCAGTCACAAATGGCTAATCTAATATTTTAAAATCAAATTACGACTGCTTACACATATACATAAGCACAATGCCAAGGTCAAGTCATTAATTTATACAGCGCTTTACACAACAATACAGATTGTTTTAAAAGCAGCTACACATTAAGAAAACAGGACAATTAGTGTCAATGTTGTAAACCAACTCAGTTTGAGCTGTAATGCAGCTCATAGTGTCATTATTCATCTCAATGTTGCAAAGTTCATCAATTACAAAACCAGTTGAGTTCAGCTCTACAGAAGCCAATCGTGTCACTATTCAGCGAGCCGACGCTTGGGTGTCAGTCAGTAGTGTCATTCGTATAGCAATAACACCGCTGCATTAACAGAAAGTATGGAATTCCTGAAGCAGAGAGAAACATGGATTTGGAGAAGGGCACCTGAAAGGCAGCCTCATATCTTTTGCGAGTGGTTTTGAATTTGGCTGGAGGCCCAGGCTCCTGAGGCTTATTTGTTTCACATTTGGTGTGAAAAGGCTTTTACAATAAAAAAAAACGATTTCTTTTTTATTATTAAAAACAAACAAACAAGCAAGCCCAGCCTAGATGAGAAAAAGGAACACAAAAGTAATGCAACACTTTCCATAAAAAGTAACCAAGTAATGCAGTTACTTTAAAAAGTAACTTTGCCCACGACAAACTTTACAGCTTCACATGGTTCATTTTGAAGTAATAGTTTGTTCTGCGCCACCCATTGGTGTTATGCAGAGCTCTTGATATGTTTGACTGAAGCTCCCTTACTTTTTGTGCAATACAAAGCCATTGAACAATGAAGCAAAAAGGCTTTTCAGATAGAAGTCTCACTCATGCAGAGGGTTTGGCGTAGTATCCACGTCATTTCTTTTTTCTCCACAGATGAACACCCATAATTCACTAGGTTCTACACATTCTTGTGTTCGTGTATCCAGTATTTTGGCCAGTGTGATTAAATGCTTCCATCTAGAGGATTACAGTACACTGCAGCCAATATAAACCAATCCAGAAAAAATTCCACATTAAATTTAAAAAGAGCTCTGCTCATAGTAAACGAAGAGTCCAGATAAAACTTGTTTGGAATGGTTAGTTTTTCCTTAATTGTCAGTTATCCAATAGATTTAGATCCTTAAAGATACAAACTTTAAAATTGCATACAATATTTATATAATATGAAACAAAAACACCAACTCCATTAAGAGTAACTGATTACACATTTTATTAGGATTAAGACAACAGTTACAAAGTTACCAAATGAAGACGATACACTGCAAAAGTTGCCTCATCATCTCTCAGAGCTGAAACACACTGAGGTGTTATGACACAAGTGTTCAAGAAGATGCACATTTAAATCTGCAGGGTCGAGTTTGTAGTGTTGCCTGAAACGTAACGTAGATAGCACGAGCGTAGTAGTCGACAGTGAGCTCATCACTAAACTGTGCTTCTTCCGTCTCTGTGCTGTTCAACCAAAATGCCTTCGCATTAAGACAAATCCTCCGGCGCCTTCCGCAGAGTGGAGTTTGTGTGCACACGAAAGGAGCGAGCACGGTGTTCAAGACCATAAAGGCAGACATGGCTTCTCCAAAATCTCCTGCCTCAGATCAGGACTAAAGAAGTTTTAGAAAAGGGACTCCCTAATATTCTAGGCCCTCACGTATGTATTTAGTGAAATGCATCTTTTTGAAGTTGCATTTGCCTTCAAACTAATCTCAGGAGAAATGTTGTCATCACTAAACTGTGCTTCCGTCTCTGTGCTGTTAAACCAAAATGCCTTCGCATTAAGATAAATCCTCCAGCGCCTTCCGCAGAGTGGAGAGTTTATATGCACATGAAAGGAGCGAGCACTGTGTTCAAGACCTTAAAGGCAGACATGGCTTATATGTTTTGACATCTCCAAAATCTCCTGCCTTAGATCGGGACTAAGGAAAGAGGTTTAGAAATGGGACTCCCTAATATTCTAGGCCCCTCTTATGTGTTTAGTGAAATGCGTCTTTTTGAAGTTGCATTTGCCTTCAAACTAATCCCAGGAGAAGTGCTGAAATGCAGGGAGAGAATTCGCTGATGCAAAGGCTGACTCAGTGCACCTGACAAACTCAACCGGTAAACTTCAGTCATGTAAACAAAGTGGTGAATGATGATGAAAGTTAAAGTGTGACATGGAAAGAAGGTTAAGCGCACAAATGTAAAGTCCCTGAGAGATGTTGGGGACCCCTGACTCACACACATGCGCACCAGTCACTATATGACACCAAATGAAAGCTGAAACTCGCTTAAATCGGTGTGATGGTTTTGTTACAGTGTTTATAGTAGCATATATGCACACAGACAGCTGGACTTAAGCATTAGTACAATTTGTTGCTTTAATTCAAACGACCTCGCACCTAATTTTGGTCACATTGAAAAATTCTTTTATACGGAGACAACAAAAAAATTAAGACAAATTCCAAATGGTAACATCAGCGTACATAAAACTTTGGATGGACACTGAAAAGTTACGCTCAAGAACATTGTGGGGCCACTGGCTTAACGTTTACACTAATTCACTGAGAACAAGAATGTGGACGATACCTAACTAATACTCTTAGGAGGGACCACTACAAAAACGAAGCATGAAGGGGTATGTTTTCAGGGTCCAGGTTAGCAGATAGGGATTTAGGAGCCAGAAATGGCCACACTGATACCGCCTGTGAGCAGGAACACAGGTTCAGCGCTAATCACCGGCTTGAAAAGGGGCCCGAGCCTCAAATTAGCTGGGATTCAATGGGGACTGGGGGTCTGGAATGCATGTTGTGGAAGAATTAGAAAGGAGAAACGAGTGGGGGTTTACATCTTGAGAAAGATTTTTATTTGTATGTTAAGTTCCAATCCTTGGAATTTACAGTATATTTATTATTGTAAAATTGTTCCCAAAAACATCCTGATATTTAAATGTTCAAGTGAGTATTTGGACGGACAGACTTATTTAATATTGATGGGTGGAGTATTTGGATGGGTGGATGAATGGATGGATGAAGTATTTGGATGAATGGATGGATGGATGGGTGAAGTATCTGGATGGGTGGATGGATGGAGTATTTGGATGGATGAATGAATGGATGGATGAAGTATTTGGATGGGTGGATGGATGAAGTATTTGGATGGGTGGATGGATGAATGGATAAAGTATTTGGATGGATGCATGGATAGACAAAATAAAATAAAAACTTTCTGTAGTTTTAAACAAACGGTCCTTGAAATTACAAACGTAAACCCTGCTATTCCCAGGTTTTCCATGAGAGCGGGAGCATAAGTTAATAATAGTCTTGAAAAAGAATGAAGAAAAATTTTGTTCTATGAAATCCTCATTCCCTAGTAGAAGGGTAAGAACCTGAACAGTGCAATTTGAATCTGAACATTTTGAGGGAAATGTGCGAATGGCAGATGAAACCGCAAATGAAGAAAATGAACTTGTACAGTAAAATCAAGCCGTACTTCCAAACAATGGCGTTCTCACTGGCTTTGTACTTGGCTTTTCCCTTCATACAGATAACTTGAACCCCACTGGTGTTGAGTGGAGTAGGAATGTGAACCTGTAGAGAAACACACAATTTACACTTCAATATATACAACCAATAAGGCACTTTGAGAATAATGAATGTTATTTCTTCTGTCAGTCTCACCTCTATCTTCTGTGCCAGCAGGGAGGGCTTGAAGTTGGACTTGATCACCACCTTTACCTCCAGCTTGGTGCGGCCCACCTCACGGACCAATGGGATAACGCGGAAGGGGAGGATGATGTCTTTAGTGGTACGGTACCTGAGACAAGGACACTGTCATTGTACTGTGTGACACACTCATATGCAGTCACACACATGCTCTTCACTGACCTCATGAGCTCATACTCTCCATCGGGAGGGATGAAGCTAATACTGCGCTCCGAGTCAAACTTGCTGAGACGGACACACTGGTGGAACGTGCAGTCATCGATCGCAATGGACTGTTTCCCACTGCAGCAGGAGACACAGAGGAGAGAAACGATGAGGAAACAATGAAGCATGAGCAGAGACTGCAGAGAGACCAAACACACATTACTCATCAGAGGTGGGCGGCATGACGGTATATACTGTGTGACGGCAGAAAATAGTCAACTGGTAAAGATTGTGATATATAACGCAGGACGTATTTAGATTGATAGATCGGTGGGAAGGGCTTTTTATGCATTTACACATGAGAGTGATGAAGAAAGATGAATTGATGCGAAAATACAAAGCTTGATGTGTCCTGAACAAGGAAAGGAAAGACTGTTGTTAGGCACAACACAAAGCAGGCTTTACATCGTTTACAAATGTCAAGCAACCTCGCAACTTGACGCATTAAGATTTTAACTGATATGTGAAGTTTAATAGCTATTTTACAACAGCTGTGAATGTTGCTTATTCAATTACAATTTAGTGAAATTTCTACTTGTGTTGCATAATAATATGTGACATATTCATTTGTTACAAAATTATTTTGGGCTAGATGTCCAAGTTCTAAATAAGGAGAAAATAAATGAGATTATGAACTTTCATTCAGTCAATTATCCAAAACATCTCATTTATATCTAAACCATTTTTATTTAATTTCCATCAACAATAACTGCACTTCTGTTCAAAAGTTTTGTTGTCGGCAATTTTTTAAATTGTTTTGCAAGAAGTCTCTTGTGTTCACCAAGGCTGTATTTATTTGACCAAAAATGCAGTAATAATGTGAAATATTATTACAGTTTACAGTATCTCATAAATTTTTAAATATATTATAAAATGTAATTTATTCCTGTGATGCAAAACTGAATTTTCAGCAGCATTACTTGAGTCTTCAGTGTCACATTATCCTTCAGAAATCATGTTAATATGTTGTTTTGCTGCTTAAGAAACTTTTCTTATTATTATCAATATTGAAAACAGGCTGTGATACATTTTTGAAGATTAATTTGATGAATATAAAGTTCAAAAGAATGTCATTTATTTGAAACAGAAATCTTTTGTAACATTATAAATGCCTTTATTGCAACTTTTTGATCAAATTAATGCATCCTTGCTACATAAAAATATAAATTTCTTTTAAAATCATACTGACTACAAACTTTAGAATGGTAGAGCATATTGCAATAAATACAATTATTATATTATGCAAGATTGTGGTCATACCGCCTACCTCGCACAATAACATTCTGCTATACTGTCATTATGTTGGGAAGGATGTTAGTTTCTAGCACTGTGACCACAACAAAACTGCACGGGAAGGTCTGTAAGAGGGTTGTGATTTGCTGATACTAGATTAAAATAAATAGCGTTATGTTGTGGTCAGAGGCGAGGGGGGCAGGCATTTGAGGGGTCACAACAAGATAACTTTAACACAGACTCTAATGAGAATGGCTAGCAGTTCATTCAGGTAAGAGGCCTTTGAGTAAAACAAGACAGGGGAAAGACTGTTTGTATGAGACGAGACAAATGAACTGAAGAAAACGCTACGATCCTTTACCTAGAGCTGCTAAACACCTCAATGGCAGTGTCATCCCATGCAAAAAGATCATCTTTATTGAGACGTTTGATGGCATGACACGAAGACAGCTGACAAACGGCTAAGACAGGACGGAGTGAAGGTGATAGATCAGGTGACGTCAGGAGTGAGAGTTACGCTACCTGCCCCCCAACTCACTGAAGTCCATCGGGAGAGAGGAGAGAGGCACACAAATCAACAGAAAAAAATTGAAAAAATAAAGGGCTAAACCAACGGCACCTCAGAATCAAACATTCCTCGTTTCCTTACTGTAGCAAAGAAAAACAAGTCTCCTCTTGGCTTATATCGAAATCCTCCGACATTCTTCTTTACAAATCCTCGTTTTGTACTTCTAATTCGTGACCGTTGTTTTGTTCTCTTCCCTTCGCTTCCGCGTTCGTCACTTCTGAGAGGCGCATGCGCAACGCCGACCTCCATACGTCATCCGCCCGGAGCTGCTTCCGTGTACAACAGAGAGGCACACAAATCAACAGAAAAAAATTGAAAAAATAAAGGGCTAAACCAACGGCACCTCAGAATCAAACATTCCTCTGTAAAGATACATATACCTACTAGCACAAAAGGCAACAGGGAAAGAGTGAGACTGCAAGACAAGATGTTACAGAACACACAAAAAAGCCAGGAGGAATGAATTCGCTCCATGTGAGACTTCCTGTAATATTGTGTCCAACTGTTCTGCTCATAAGGCCTTACATTCTGAGCCGAGGGGGATGTTATACAAATCAAAACAAAAAATGTAGTTTTTAAAGTCACTGTGATCTGGCATTTATAACCCATTTTACTTTAACAATGTGATGGATTTTCTAAGTGAATCAGAACATTCAACAGGACTTAAATGGATAGTTCACCCAAAAATGAAAATTAGCCCAATATTTACTCACCCTCAAGCCATCCTAGGCGTATATGACTTCCTTCTTTCAGATGAATCCAATCGGAGTTATATAAAAAATTGACTTAGATCTTCCAAGCTGTTTAATGGCTGAGTGCCATTAAACAGCTTGGAAGATCAAAGTAAATTTTTTATATAACTCCGACTGGATTCGTCTGAAAGAAGAAAGTCATATACACCTAGGATGCCTTGAGGGCGAGTAATTTATGGGCTAATTTTCATTTTTGGGTGAACTAACCCTTTAATTCATCAGGAATTGACTTTATTGTGAGAAGTTCTTATATGACAGGGGGTTGGAGGGGAGAGATTCAAAAATATGATCAACTGTGTCACTAATATGCGACTCGTCAATTCCATTTTTTTTTTAAAAATTCAGGTTCTCAACCTTGGGTTTGTGAACCTCTAGGGGTTTGTGATGGAACTGCAGGGGGTTTGTGAGATAGTGACACAAATGCTGATGCTAAATTAAATTTAAAGGGGTCATAAAATGCCTTTTCAGACCTTTATATTATGTTTCTGGAAGTTAGCTTATGCAGTTATCAAAGTTTTTGCTTTAAAAAAAAAAAAGTTTAAATATTTGTAAAAAATTATAATATTCCATACAATCTTTCACTGTCACAAACACATAATTTCAAGTGGTTACCTCTTTCAAAAACACATGTAAACAGCTACTGCTCTGACTGCCAAACATCATTGTATCCACGCACAGCATGTGTGACGTGTATTTTGATGCTCAAGATGGCCAGTGCAATAATATAGTCATATATGTTCGAACCAGAGTCAGACTGAAATGAATCAGTGATTAATGCACAGACATGAGTTACCAAGAGCAAATTTCCTTGATTTGCATATGCATGTTAGTGGGCATGTAGAGGAAAATCATGACATCACAAACGGAGTAATTTAAATTCCTGCCGTTTCAGAAAACTCATTTTAAACTGTGGAGTTTGCGTTGAGGTATGAAACTTGCATTATTTTTTAAATGTAGAGTAACATCTTATATGTGTAAATATCAATGTCATTTTGATTTTCCATTTCATAAAATTAGTGCTGTCAAACGATTAATCGCGATTAATCGCATACAAAATAAACGTTTTTGTTTGCATAATATATGTGCTCTGTGTATATGTATTATGTATATATACACACACATACAGTATATATTTTGAAAATATTTACATGTATATATATATATATATATTCATATAATTTAATTATAAATACATTTATTAAATATATAAACAACATATTTTTATGAAATATAGACGCATGTGTGTGTATTTATATATACATAATAAATATACACAGCACACATACATGTAATATGTAAACAAACACTTATTTTGGATGCGATTAATCGTTTGACAGCACTAAAGAAAATTTAATTTGTGAAGGTGTTAAGTTACATAAAACACTTTAATTTGGCCTTATGATGAGTCATTAAACGGCAATTAGTAAATTAGTAACAAGCATAAACCATGTTCAGTGGTTTACTCACCACAGTGGCTCTCACATTTCCATTTCAGTGTCATCCAACTCACCTTTTGCCTGAGTCATCAGTCGTGCCACCTTTGCCCTGCTTGTCGATGACAATCTTGTCATTCATGCCGAACTTGCACTCTGGCATTCCGCTTAGGTAGCTCTTCATCACCACACGCCCTGAGACATGTGCACTCAACACCTGACCTGCACACACACAGCACAGAAAACACCACTACATGAAGTTTCAATACAAAGTAATGAATGCAGGTAAAATTCACCATGCAGTACTGTAACTCTCAGCCAGTAGAGGGCAGGAAGGCTCACCCTGCGGTGACATCAGCAAGTTCACACTTTCCAGTACATCCAGGAAGAGTTCGTTGCGGCGATATTTGATGCCCTCACGTCTCCAGCCGATCTGTCCGGTGACCTGACTGGTAATCTGAGACTGCTCCTCTTTCGTCTGAGAAGAACGCAAAGTGTAGAGTGTGAGAGAAACATGAGCACCGCCAAACAACAAGTCAGATATTTTGTATTCCAAGTTGTCATGTAAAGCTTTGTGAAAATATAAAAGTGAGGTATAGAGTGCTTTAGAGATGCTGTATTTGTAGGCCAACGAGTTAAAGGGGTCATATGACATTGCAAAAAAAGAACATTATTTTGTGTATTTGGTGGTTTAAGGTAAAAAAAAAAACATTATTTTCCACATATCGTACATTACTGTTGCTCCTCTCTGCCCCACCTTTCTAAATCGCATCGATTTTTTACAAAGCTCATTGTTCTGAAAAGACATGGTGGCGGCAGCGGCAACAATACTACAGCGAGAAAAAAAAGTTACGCCTTCTTTCTTTACGTATACATTTGGGCGGTGTTATGCAAATCTTCCCACACAGTGACGTAGATTTGTGGGGGCGTGTTTGAATGAGGCATTTTAGGAGGGTGTGGACGAGTCTTAACTTTTAGAAAGATTACCTCTTTGGGTTTGAGACTTTAATCTTTGCGACTTTAAGGGTCTTATATATGCAAGAACAGTTTGTAACACTCCAAAGACAAAGGAAAACATGAAATCGCATCATATGACCCCTTTAACTTTTTAGCATGTCCAGTTAAAATGTCTTGAGGTCAATTTAGAATTTTTTTGAATGGGTTTTTGGTTAAATTCCTGAAATGAGGTCTTTGAAGACTATCATGAAGATTATCATGATGAACAAAACATGTAAGAATTATAAATCCTTTTTGGTCAACTAATTTTCTGCAATGAGCCTAAAACATAAAAAGTCAACGGGAAAATCCTATTGAGTCTTTGTCGAGGGATGATAACTTCCAGACTGGCCTACAAAAATACATCAGCACTACAGCACTCTATGACTGTATAAGTACAGCTGTGCTTACATGATGCTGGAAGCAGTGAGTTACAGGTCATCAGGCACGTGGTGAGCAGTGATGTGAAGATGAAGGTGTCAGAAACATTAACACACAGTTCAGTTTCCACATGCTTCAACAAAGGCTGTGCTCCATAAAATCAGATTTCAACACTTCTGTTATAGGTACATTAACTGTCCATTTTCATAAAGCATTCACATATTAGAAAACCTAATGGACCAAATGCTGGTGTTTCATTCAGAACGCACCTGGCTCTTAATACCCTGTTGAGTAATGAAGGTCTTCAATGCTCCGGTCTCAGAGTTCTGGGGGTACCCAAAATCCAGGATTTCTATAGTAAGGGCAAAGAGAAAAACTATGACTATGTGTTGAACTCATATAGCAGTATACAGCAGTGCTACAGAATCCATAAAGTCAAAACTTTGGAGTTTTGATTTTGGTTCACGTCTGTTAGTGTTGAGGTCATCTAATATACTGGTGTACTCTTAAACATGTTGACAAAACAAACTTTTAGATAAACGCATTAAAAATAAATAGCCTTTTTTTAACCAGAAAAAAACAACCCCCTAACCCCCACTTTCATAAATATTTATTTAAAAAATATATTTTTAATATATAATATGATGAAACATATAATATAAAACTATATAATAAACAAGTATACATTTTAGGGAGTTAAATTATAAACATTTTAAATGTTTAATATTTTAGATAATATTTAGTAAAGTTATTATATTGTTTTAATTAAATGTAATGTATACATAAGATTTAAATTAAATGTAATTGTATAATATTTTTAATTAAATTATAAATGTTGTTCAAGTAAAAGACAGTTTTTAAATTATATTACACTAATGCTTATGTTTTACAGAGCTTCCCAACCATCAAATTTATTTTTTAAATGTGTCATTGCTTCTGTCCATTGTACATTCTGTAAAGTGAGATTTTATATGAAAGGGATGTAAACTACAGCTTAAAAAAAAATGTCAGCATCTTCAATAAAGAAAATCGTGCTCATCAATCCATGTCATTGAGTCTTAAATGTCAGGTATCACAAGGGATTCTAAATGTATTGAGCATTATAATCAGTCATGGCAGTTCTGTACAGTCATGGCCAAAAGTTTTGGCAGTGACATAAATTTTGTGTTTTGCAAAGTTTGCTGCTTCAGTATTTGTAGATTATTTTTCCACATGTTTCTATGGTATACTGAAAAACAATGACAGGCATATCATAAGTTTTAAAGGCTTTTATTGGCAAAAAAATATGAGTCAATATTTACAGTATTGACCCTTGTTCTTCATAACCTCTGCAATTCGCTCTAACACCCCTAGTAATGATCTTCGAGCCACTTCTTTATCACTCTTGCTTTGTGACATGGTGCTCCATCATGCTGGAAAATGCACGGCTCATCACCAAATTGCACATGAATCATTGGAAGAAGTCGCTCATGCAGGACGTTTTGATACCATTCTTTATTCATAGCAGTGTTTTTGGGCAGAAATATGAGAGGAGAGCCCACTCCCTTGGTTGAAAAGCAACCCCATTCATGGATGGTCTCAGGATGCTTCACTGTTGGCACGTCACAGGACTCATGGTAGCGTTCACCTTTTCTTCTCCAAACAATTGATTTTCCAGATGTCCCAAACAGTCGATTATCAGAGAAAATAACTTTGCACCAGTCTTCTGCTGTCCAATCCTTGTACTTCCTGCAGAATTTCAGTCGGTCTTTGATGTTTTTCTTGGAGAGAAGTGGCTTATTTGCTGCCCTTCTTGACACCAGGCCGTTGTCCAAAAGTCTTGGCCTCACTGTGCGTGCAGATGCTCTCACACCAACCTGCTGCCATTCCTGAGCAAGCTCTGCACTGGTGGTGACACGATTCCGTAGC